ATGTATGGGTCTACATGTCTCTCCCACATAGGCACTACCATATGAACACAAAATCTTGTAACAGCCCGAGCTGGAGAACGGGTTAGAGTATTCTAGAAAATAAGGCAATACCGAGGACAGTGTTATTTTATCTTTATAAATAGTCTTGATGTCCCCAAAATACTGGTTTTATTTTGGATTTCTTCTCCAACCACAATTAGGTGGTTAAAATAGAAGTTATGAAGTATATGGTAATAAGGAGCCTGCGTCTGGCAGATGTTAAGCATCGGGACCACGAACTGAGGAGACTAAGGCGAATTTTGTTTGAGAATAATTATCCAAGAGGGCTGGTTGATAACTATTTTAGAATATTTCCAAATAGAATGAAGGGAGCTATATAAAACGATATATCGCTACCAGGATACATATGATGCCAGCATGTAATCTATTGAATAATATAATATAACTATGACAAATTATTGAGATCCGGCTGTGAGACAGAAATGCTCGTAAATAAAGCTGGGCCCAACTCTGAGAAGTGACCGAATACATGGCAGAAGCTTGATAAGGGATAGAATGGTCTCAAAGTAGTAGGTTTGTTGATCATGGTCCGTTTGCTGTTAGAAGGAAGATAAGAGGGACTATTGAAATTAATAGATTAAGGAACACGTTGAATGAGAGGAACGTTGGTAGCAAGTTTTTTAAGAGTTTATTATGCCTGATGGCTAGCTTGAAAGAGAAAAAGGGTGTTAAGCCGCCATCCGAAAGAAGGCCTCCAAAAATTTGCCTTCATGTAACTTCACCATATTATATGTTGATTGTCAAGTGCTAATTCAATTGACTAGTTACTTAATTAATTTAAGTAATATTGCTTGTGTTGGATCTTATTTAAAGCATCGAAACCTATTCTATTCGAATACAAATAATTTATTCTTTCATAGTAGCAAATACAAATTTTCCTCAAACTCATAAATAAAAAAAAGGGATGAATTCCAAGATGGTGTGGCATTTTGTGTAGTCGCAGTCTTCTTTCGTTGTGTAGAGGTTCTTTGACCTTGTTTTCGCAACTTATGTGCCAACCCACAAACGTTGTAGTTTAACATTGAACCAAATCAAAAGCAAGCAGTACCACAACATTTATGGGTTAGAACACAAAAGACTAAGGCATAGCAAGTCATAGACTTGGTATTAGGGATAGAAACAGGATAGACGCGGCGGAGACTGGAGTTAGTTGGCTGACAGTAGGTTTTCTTAAAGACGTGGTCTGGGTAGCAAAGGCTAGACGACGAGACTTACTCAGAGGCTTAAGTCTCGAATTAGTCACCCAGACACAGGGGAGGGCGAATAACGCCTCGGGTAGCACATATAGTGTGGCAGGGGTCGAGTGAAATACGGGAACCAGGGAGGGAGCAGACGGATCTTACGGGACAAGAGAGAGGTAAGTAGGTAAGTAGGACTACGTAGCAATAGGGCAGACTGGTCAACATTCCCAACACAAGGGTGAGGGGCTTGAAAACGACATTGTGGAGTGTGAAGGGTTTGCATGAATGAGGCCCAAAGGAGCACACCACACTAGATCGAAATAAGCACGTTAAAAATTATAACAGTGAAGGTGTGATACAAGGATATATGAAATGTGAATAGCCGAGGGCAGAAGGGGAGATACCACAATTGTTTATCACACGTTAGGTCAAAGTATCGGCTTCACTTGTCTCTTTGACGAATTGTTGTGTGGTACTAAGAATGACGAGACTCACTGACGATGCCGGTTAAACTTCTGGAAAGGTACCGCGTTCACTGTCCGAATTTCGAAATGGTCATGCATACAATGTACTCCGGACTAGGTGCATTCCTCTAAGTCTTCCTACCAATATGACCAAGTTGCGAAAACAAGGTCAAGCAACCTCATAAATAAAACATGTTATTTTTCTTGGTTAATTTTTTAAAATACTGATGATCCCTCTATTTATCCTTCCGCATCTCAAAGTTCGTAAGACCAATATACAATCGATTAGATTTTCTTGTAGTAGTAAAATTTTGATTGATCAGTTTGCCAAAATTAAGCTTACAAATTACACTATTTTTCTATCATACATATTTAAGACAAAAAAATTAATAAGTGCCAATAAAAGTTGTACGCATGTATTTTTATCACATACAGGAGCAGTGGATCGATTGTGCACAATCAGACCCATCAGCTGACATTCTTGGGTCCCCTACCCTTATATCAACGTCTGGTCTTCGTTCATTAAATCGAACGGCTGAAGAGGCACTTGGTATCGGACACTTGTTGCTAGCCGGAAGCCCACCGGCAGCTCTCATGATGGCCGAGTTAATGATGGTCAAGGCAGACTTCGATTCTGCTTGCACGCATCTTACTCTGCTTTTGAACAAATTCCCTTGTAAGCGAAGAGTCGAGGGTACAGCACTGCTTATTACCTCTATGTTCTACTTTGTATTATAGAGCTTTTATAAAGACCCTTACTTGTTTTGGAGGAATATCATTTTAGGCCTAATACCTCTATTGATCTGGCAAAGTTTGGAATCGTGGGAAATTTCTGCCTAAATCTAACCACATGCGTCCCTTCGTAAATGAAATTTAGGAATTTTTACTATGCAAAATTATTTCAAATAAAATTAATAT